ATAAATATATTAATTAAAATGCATTATTTATTTACATTTTTATTATAGTTGCTATATCTGGCATTTTCTCCACACAATCTATTGCTATCGATTGCTTTTTTTTTTCTATACTATATGTAAACTTTTTAAAAAATTATATCAAACACTAAGTTCCAAGTTCATTTTAGGTTATGTTTCCCAGACTCTTTGGTAAATACACATTAATTTGCAGTCTTGCAGAAAGTTGTTTAAGGAGACAGACAACCTGTCATATTTTTATGCAGCTTATTTTAGCTAAGAAATATTAAAAAACCCTCCTGTTAAAAGATGATTTACACTTTTATGGTTTGTGCACAGATTAAACATACACGATAAATTCTATAACACAGTTTTAGGGATGTTTATCACTACTGTGCAGCTAAGCTTAGCTGATACCACCTGTTTCCAGTCTTAATGCCAACCTAAATGGAAGCTTCATATCACATCTTAGAAAGCAATATAGAGATTATCATTAAGCAGCTTTTGGATATAACTTTATATTTACATAGCATTACATAGAAATGTTATCCATCTTTTCATCTGACTCCACCTAAGCGTTTTTTTTTTGTTTGTTTTTTCCCCACTGGTCAAACTCTGCCTCATGATAAGCTTGTAGCTAATAAAGTCTAAAGACGTTTAAAATAATTAAACAGAACCCTTTAAAACTTTATGTTCTGCATAATTGAGAGCGCATCTCATGAAAAGCTTTTCAGTCTAGTCCTACTGTAGCCATCAATATGCATTTAGTTCTCTGTTTAAGAAAATGATGTCTGTCAACTAATTGGAATATTAAAGTCCTTTCAGTCCTTGGGCCTAATGAATTAAGCATGCAAGGTATGTGGTTATGCAGGGCCTGCCTTTCTTATGTATTGTGTATTGTTCCGAGACTTTCCCTGACAAACTTGAAGTTCAAGTCAAGTCTTGTAGGATTGAAACGTCACAAGTTCAAGTCTTTTCATGACTTTAATCAAGCCATAAACTCTGCTGGCATTTACAAATCTTGCGGTGAAGCTTGTAGTGAAGCATAACCCTTACAGTCAAACTCATCCAGGAACAGAAGCAAACAGATGATTTCTCCACCGTCTGATGCTCCAGTGGCTTTACGCCTACTCTTCTCATAACACCAGTGCCACTGATTCAACCCTGAAGTGATGCGTTTGCTGACCGTGTCACACTCATGCTCGGTGAGATCACACACCACATCCATGAGCCTAAAACTCTAAAAGTCTATTCACCTCACTCACCAACTCCAGCTCTTCCTCAGTCTGCACGGCCGGTGGAAGAGGGGACAGTAAAAAACAAAGGGCTGTTAAGTTTCTATAAAATCTAACTGGTGTAGAGATATGAACATGTTATGGTTACTTTGAGAATAATTATAGAGATGCATATCATGGTAATACGATACTGAAAAGTGAAGGAGAAAGATTGGATCCAGAAGTCAGCTGTGGATCTGTCTGTCTGCCTTGTTAGAGACTGTGCACCATGTATGGATGGACATTGTTGCTTTATTGTGTTTACAGATTTCTGACTGTAGTAATAGAAATTATGTAATAGTGAGAAAGTTAGAACCATATTTAGAGAAGGAGCGCAGACATTATTATATTTTAAATGACATAAATTATTTCACTTTCCGGCCATAAAAAGGCACAGTGGCCACAGCAAAAAAGGAATCTGTGAACATGTCACACATGTGACAAGTGAGAACCACGTAAAACATTTTTATTTTCATCTTCTAAGCCTCTCACTTATTCCAGACTACTGCCGAGTCCATCACCTGCACAATCTTCTTCTAGACTACTTTCTTCAGCCTGATGAATGTGGACAGGTTGTTCGCGTCGCTGGAATAATTAATAACCAGAGTTTTCATATAAAGTAACTCCTCGTCTTTATAGTTCGATTTAGAACAAAGGAATCTAAGGGTAACGTGAAGTGTTTTAAACACTTCTAATTCCTGCTGTCAGAACTCAGAAACGTTCAAAGTTGGGTTGTGTCAGTTGTCGTTTTTAAGTGACCCAAACAATTATTACTTCAGCTGCCAATGGCGAGTCCCCGCAAAGTTGTGCAGCAGCAGAAATAAAGATGAAATGGTTTGGCAGTTCCATTGCATGACTCAAACTGGAAGTGGCTAAAGAGAAGTAGCAGTCATGGAAATATGTTTTCATGATATGACACATACTGCTGGAGGCAGACAGGATGTCCTCCTGGACAGTGACTTGCACAAAGATCCTGACAAAAATCTCCCACTGTAGCATTTATGTCATTTTTGTAATACATTTAAAATCTAGATTCATCAAGTTGCTCATTCAACATTGTGGAGGTTTGGACTATCAATGCAAACTGAATAGGATGGAAAATATGAATGGTTCACCCACGAGGCCCCTATTGTATATATTATAGGCTTCATCAAAAGGCACCGTAACAAAAAGAAAGGAAAGATTACTGATACTCATCATTGAGAGACTGGCTGTATTACACTTGAGAGATTAAAACACCTGAAGCCTTCATCGCATAATTTTGACTAATTCTGAACTGAAGTGCTGCTTCCACTCATGATCTCCTTACCAGCTGCATGAGGCTCTTGCCACTCTGTGAGGTGATGACCCTCAGGTCCGGCTTACGGCTGTTGACCATCTGAGGGCTGGGTGGAGGTGGAGACTTAGCCGGGACTACTTTCCCCAGGCTGTTGCCATTGGATACAGAGAGGAGGCCTGGGGAGGCCCTGGCACTGATGTAGCCATTAGCTGGAGAGAAACAAATAAAGAAAGTGAGGTTCAGTGAAGAGGAAGTGTAGCAGGAGGTTGTGTGTTTGTCTGTTTTGATGCTTTTTATGTTTCTACCTGTGAACTAGTGACTTTTTGTGCTTGTCTGCCTGGATGTGTATATTCAGCTCTGCATGCATGTGTGAGAGAGCTCTCATTAGTGAGTTGATCGCTCTGTCGCACCACATGCTCGTCATTGTTTCTGCACCTCAAACAGCTTTTTTTTCTTTGCAAGATGATTCTCTGCAGCTTCTTCACATCAAAACCATGTCACGATCTCTCCAGATCTATGTTATTTCTTTATTTCCATGTTCACACTCACTCTCTACACATTTCCTCTTTTACTTTTACGTGTCTTGGCACTTGGTTAAAAGAAAAACATGCAAATCTTTCTGGACACCTGCCATCTGTGAAACACTGTGAAAAAAACCCGACTTCCTTAGCAACTTAGCTTTCATTGTCACTGAATTATTGCTAAATTGGTCTCTATGTCAGTCAAAAATCCTCCATGCAGTTTAACGATTACACTGTACTTCCAATACTGTGACTGCATATAATGTACATGTGTAAAACCATTATATTGTATTTACACACATGTAAATTATTACTTGTAGCAATACGTGTTATTATAAACTGTTTTTTGAGAAAAAAAAAATAAAAATGTTTCTTTTATTTAAACTAAGGTCCATAAGGTTTTGGAAAATAACAGTTTTTGTCATTCTTCTGTACACCACCACAGTGAATACTCTGAAAATCAGATGAGGGGACAAGGCAATGTATAAAAATGCCTTTAATGTCCTTACAATTCATGCAGTAGCTTTTTAAAAATAATTTCTTTTGCATCTCATTCAGCAAAATTGGAAAAAATGATCATTACAAAAATATTTAAAGACCTAACTATGTGTAAATTGATCTAAGTGACTTTATATATAATATTTAACTTCATCTCTTGATGCTTTCCTTCCAAATCATTTATTAAAATGAACAGATGTCAATTTGCCAAAAAATGAAGATGCTTAAATATTTAGAAATGCTTCATATTAAGAAATTAAACCTGTTCTGATCTCACATGGAAGTCTGGTAATGTTTGTTTTGTGTTTTAGTTAATGAGAAATGTATGATTATATCAAAGATAATTTTTTAAGGCCATCTAGTCCAGATGAGTAGCTCACTGATAAGTTTTTAATAATTTCAACAGTGGAGCTTTACGAGGTCTTAAATATGCACAATATATTTAATGATGTTTAAGGTAAAATGAACTGGTTCTAGTCTTTTCATGGGACTTGTTGACAGTATTCAAAGATAAAATAACTTCTGGTTTGCAGTGTAAAAGTTCTCTCCCCCTTGTTCTTTTGATCTTTAACGTCAATCAGGGCATTCCAGTAACATGTCTGGCCACATTACAGCATGCTACACCTGTTGAACGCACCCTCCTTTGAAATGGCACAACTGCCACATTCCAAACCTTCACACTGCCACACAACAGTTACTCTAAGAAACAACAAAGCCTGATTCGTGACGTGCTTCTGTCACAGAAAAACACTGCACGATACAATGCTGCTCCCTCTCCCATGTTTACGTTCTTTTATATTAGTAGGTTGTGTATTTATTTAAGATGGGTGTCGTTGGGGTTTTTTGTCTACTGTGTTTACCTTTGTTGCCTATTCATTTTCAATCAAGTTTAAAAAGTTAAAACGAACGATGGATTTGGTGGTGATGTGGAAGATGGAGGATATCTGCTTGTCATAACAACAAGACTCCAGCAGACAGCAGCCTGTTCGAGGCTAAAAGACAAGTAGGCTCAAACAGAGACTCAGTCACAGAGTATATAAAAAGGGGGACAGCAGGGACTTTCCCAGCCCTAACACACACACCCACACACACACACACACACACACACAGTATTCCCCTTGGACAGACAAGGGATATGTGTGATAGCAGTTCTCCATGACACTGCCTCCAGACAACAGTGGCATGTGACTCTGCTTCATCTCAGTCTCACACACACACATCCCATATACGAAACCTCACAACAACAACTAGAAGCGAACACTACCTCTGTTATCAGCTCAGCGGGAGGGAGACCGGGCAGAGAGGGAGGACAGAGGAAGAGCACAATAGGAGCAAAGGAAGGAGTAATAGAGGGATAAATGGTGGAAAAGTGAAGGAGGCTTGAGAAGTTAAGGCAAAGCTTCTTAATGTGAAGCACCTTTAGACATCATGTGAGACAAAGAGCTTTATAAAAAAAAACAAAAACAAAAGAAAGATATGAAGATGAAAAGTAGACCCGGACAAATAGATTTTAAAAAGAGTAAAATATGATTAAATAGAACCTAAATAGGATTAGATGAACATTATGAAGGAAAATAAAGTTACAACACAGCTATGGTGCAGTACATGATAAGACCAAATTTTCCCAAATTAAATTTAATCAGAGGCAGAGGCAAATAGAAAAATCCTCAGACTTGATTGAGCTGCTGTAGACTTGAACTTATCTGAGACTTTGTTGCAAATATATGAAGGAAAAAAACCCTGAATGCTGAGTCTTCATGTTTAGTTTCGACTCTGGGGATATTAAGCAGACCTGTTCTTGTCCTAGAAGATTTGACAGGTCTGGATAGTTCCTGACAGAGCAGTACCAGATTTGTTCTTTGGCCCTAAAACATGATATAGACAAAGAAAGAAAGCTGGAAACAAAAAGAGATAAAGCAGAGCTTAAATAATTGCACTGTATAGTATTACCGTATAGCTTATGTTATTTCCTCCAAGTAGTAAAACAAAACAAATCTTCAATAACCCCTCAAACAAATAAAAATGATCATTATATATAAAAAAGGGGGGGAAATATTAGCCTTTAAACTGAATTTCAAGTGTGAAGAAGGAAGGAAAGAAATGATAGAAAAAATGAGAATTAAGAAATTACCCAGAACGGTGGGAGGGAAAAGAGAAAGGAGAGAAGGAGGAACCAGTATGGTCAGGAACAAAGGAGACAGGGAACAACCAAAGAGTAAGGTATATGGAAAAAATCATTAGGAGGGAAGGAGAGACAGGACAGAGAAGGTACTGGAAGGACATGTGAATGCTGGGAGGAAAAAAAGATGTTGCAGAATGCAGCAAGGTAGAGACAGATGGAATGAGACAAGCCAGTAAGATAACAGTAGAGGATGTCAGAAGAAGGCACTGTAAGTCAAAAGACAAGAATGAGATGAAGCAATACGAGATGATAAAAGAAGAAAAGGATGGTGGAAGAAGTAGGCTGGGAAGCAAGGAAGTAGACAAACTATGACCACGACAAGAGGACAAAGGAAGCTAGCAAGGAAGAAAGAAAGTGGGCTTGAAAAGTCCTTTGGAAAGAAAAGACAAAACAGGATAAGGGTGGAGATACTGAAAGCAACAGGGATGGAAGAAGGGGGGAAGAAGGAGGAAAGAAAAGATGCCAGCAGGTAATGAGGTCATGAGACAAGAGGCAGAGGGCATAAAGTGACCACATATTAGATATGACTGAAACAGAAAGGGAATACAGGAGGAGTGGCAAGAAAGCTACTTAGGAAAAAGGAATGAAGCACATAGGGATGAAAGGGTATCTGGTTACAGAGGCGGGGGGTGGAAATAAGTAGCAACAGAGGAGGAGAAGATAATAAGGGAGGAGTAGAGATGAACAGAAAGGCTAGGAAAGGAAAAAAATCATTTAGGAAATGAGGGACAGAAGGTAGAGAGGTAATGCCAAAGGAAAAAGAAGAGGAGTTTGTTTTTCAGCAGCATCTGATCAGTGAGAACACCTGTGTCCTGTTGACGCACAGTGAACCCTCACTACATCAGCTGACTCGGGGAAATTCTGCGATCCTCCATGTGTTTCATGTTGCACAACGTGCACCGAGCACTTGTGCATGTCTCTGACGGAAATCTGTTGCTGTTCACATTGTGTTCGTGGCTCTGTGTAAACAGAGAGGGTGGTGGCGTCGTGGCGATCCAGAGTCAGGAGTTACAAACAATGTGAATACGAGTGTGAGCCTCTGCTCGAGTTTTTCACTCGCCCTCAAGCCAATTCCAAATCCCCTTACAGAAAATAAAGATGGCGTGCTGAGATGCTTGTGTAGCCCTGTATGTGCACGTATATCTGCTTACACTATACTAGACAAGTGTTGGTTTTAGCTGGAATTTGGAGATGCAGATTACTGACACGTTTTTGTGTTTACTGAAGTCATTTTTACAAGACTCCAGACGCATTCTTGTTTGGACACTAAGGGATGAAAAATGGTAAATTGTGGAAAAATATGTAACAGCAAGGAATAAAACACAAAGACAGTATAAAACATGGACAAAGTCTCCCCTTTCCTTGGAACTCTGCATTCTGAAACATCAACATTAGCTTTTTGAATGCTGCCATGCTTTCTTTTTTCATTTTGTTTTTTTCTTTGAAAGCCAGAATTTAACAATACAATAATTTTTTTTAATTACTGGAAAAACAAAATTGAGAAAATAACTTGAAATTTCGAGTTAGGCGTCTTAAAACTTTGTGTTAGCTCTGCCAATCAGGAATCTCAGTGAAGGAAGTAATTTCCTTGTTACACGGAAGCAAATGGTGCAGACACGCACAATCAAAATCCAGGTAACATGGAGATAAGCTTCCTTATTGGCAGCACTAACTCGAAATTTCAAGTTTTTAACTTAAAATTTTGCGATACCTTAGTGAAATTTTTCAATTATTTTCTTGGAATTTGGAGTTAGGCATTTCCAAATTTTGAGTTATTAATTCAAAATTTTTCACTATAGATATAAATATATATATTTTTAGTGATGGAAACGAGCTTCCATATTTACCTTATGTGGATTAAATGAATTAGAGGAGCAGATTCTGATTGGGAAGCCTATGAAACAACATGGCCACACCATAACTCATTAATTCAAGTGGATGAGTTACAAAAAACCCACCGCAATCAGAGCTGTTATAAAGGGGAAAACAATGCAGCATCTGCTATAGGCATGCTTTCAATTGTTGTAAAGTCTGGCAAATTAACACAGCAGTCTATAGCAGACTTCCTTTTGGAGTTAGCCGCAAGTGGTCAAAAGAGAAATGTCAGTTTTTGCCACGTCCTCTTGCCTTCACTTTTGAGCTCTGGAGGTTGGCCCTGACCTTCAAAATGTACTTTAAAAAAACCTGAAATCTACAATACAAATAAATCTGACTTATTTTCTGACATAACCAGCAACACAAAACATCTTAGCTATTACGCGTAACTGTGAAAATCAACCGAAGAAGTAAAGGATGTATAATCCCATATTTCTAGCTGTATCTAGTAACAAATATAAATGTGTCTTGATCTGCTGAGGTCTGGAGATTTCTGCCTTGCCCACAGAATGCATTTGAATCGAGGGCACAAATGAAAATGGAAAAATGAAAAAAAGATAAAAACCTACAACCAAGGTAAGGCAAAAAACAAACATACACATTTTTAGAGGAAAAAACTGCCCTACTTACAAAAAAACGTGAATTTTGAATAACAGAAAAGAAAATCTTTTGTGTTTATCTCTGGTATTTGTTTTAATTCCATGCTTGCTTGTTTTCTGCCCACTCAGTATCTCTTTTACATTCTAATATAATAACAAACAGAAACTAAATAATTTTGATGTTTTCCTAAAAAGAACTACAAGAAAAATGTTAGACTTAACAGAGAAGAGTTCAAACTTGCAGATTTGTTTTTGTTTTTTATTCCAAGCGGTTAAAAATAGCATACGCTTATTGAGTCGTGGACCCCGTGTTTTCGTGCTGAGTTGTGAAGTGACTGTATTTTAATACTTCGTGTGTTTATATTTATTGTTTACACTGAGCATCCAGAAGCTCACATGAATATAAGTCCTATTCTGAGCATGAGTCACAGAACCGCTCTGAGACATCTGTGGCTTTATTTGTGTACGTTGACTGTTCGAATGCACTTTTCCATATACTTTACATGTGTTCTTGTCAGTGTCCGGGTGAACATGTGTGACTACCGTCAGTGTGTGTGTGATGTCTCTTATTACGCGAGGCTGGGCGTGGGAATGTGTGGAATGCTGGGTGACGTCAATGGTGACATTCCCGTAGCACTGACTCCCTGGACAACAGCTGAGAATGACAGATTCAAGAGGAGGGGAGGGGAAGAGGAAAAAAAGAGGGGAAGAAGGGAGGAGAGAAGAAGAGAATAGAGAGATAAAAGGAGTAAAGCAGAGAAAAGAAGAAGATGGGAGAAAAGTCTGAAGAAGTGAGGAACTTGAAAAGATAAGTGGGTTGTAGAAAAAAGTAAGAAAGTAAGCAAAAAAATAAGACTCTTAGGTATAGAAAGAAGACAGAAAAACTGGGATGAGGAGAGCAGCCATAAAGTGAAAGAGGAAACAAAAGACCTGGAAGAAGGGAGGGGAAAAATAGGTAACACTGTCAGGATGGTAATGGGAGACACAAAAGATGAATAAAAAAAGAAGAAGGAGCAGGCAGAGAGTGATTAATGAGATGAAGGAGTGAGATGGGAGGACGGAGTGGAGCAGCCATCCGGGTGGATCAGGTAACCTTAGATGAGTTCTGGTACAACGAGGTTTCATATTTCGACACACGAAGGAGTCGTGATGTGTTTACAGAAGTCCTCGTGGTCACATTCATCCAAATCGAAACACAGACATCCACCTACCTTCTGAGGGTCAACTCAGCACAGCCATTGACAACTAAACAAAGCCTTATTCTTACAAGAAAAATACGATGTGTGAAGAGTTTAATAAAGTTAACAATGACTCGTTTCTGAAATACTGTTAAAAACAGCTCTTTGATCTTCAATAACAAGTCCAATTTACAGCATTATTAGTCAGGACATGACTTTAAATGCTTATTATTTGAATGATGACTTGCTTTTAGGAACACTTGGTAAAAAAAGAAAAGTCTCCACACTTTCAGTAATAGCTTTGAAAAACTAATATCAATATTGAGCCTTGGCTTTCGAGCATTCTTCTCATACAGTGCAGGGAAGTTAATATAAATGCATTGATTCATTTTGGCCCACCTTACCCGGAGACAATGCGTTTATCAAGTGAATATAGACAGGAAAAAAGCCCCACACCTTTCCACCATATCTATTACTATGGGTTTGCTGGCAGTATCTTTCCCAGCTAATGGGATTTAAGGGGAGAGCTCTGGCTAGTGTCAAAGTCACCTCTGAGGAGAGTCCTTTGCCAAGACAGGGGACAGTTGGATCGGGGGGTGGGGAGGTGCTGAAGGTGGTGGTGAGCGGGGTGGGGCGGTAGATTATTCTAGAGAGAAGATGAGGGGGAACAGCTGAGAGAGACAGCATGAAAAGGGGGGGAGGGAAGCAGTGCAGCTAGAGGGTTGAATTGCGGGTGAGGGGTGGTGGGTGAGCACGGGAAGTGGTTTAAGTGAGGGGAGTTAAACAGGCTGCTCTTTTCAGCGCCAGATGACGTTGGAAAGGTGCGGGGTGGACGCCATTAATCCTATTTTTCAGATTTCCAGATCAAGATTTGACTGGTTGTTCATTTTTTTTAAGCTTGCCTCATTACAGACCATTGAATCACTCCTACGATTTGTTCAGTGATTAAAACAGATCTGGTCTTGTGATCACTGGAGTCTGTTTCCCTTGGTTGGAGAAACAATCAATCAAAGCTTTGTAGGTCAGGATTAATATACAGTACAAATGCTGAGCAGACGTCTGATTCCACTTTTATATTAAGAAGACGACAAGAAATGATCCTAAATGATAAGAGTCTTAGTTTTGCATGGATGGAAAGAGCTTCATTGACAACGACTGTTAAACTGGCTAGTGCTTAAGGTTTTACACTCTAGCTTCCAGCTAATCACATACTGACACTTTGCTTGTGTCAGTATGTGACAAATACTATTTTTAAACAGTGGCTATACTCTTATTGTTGATTTCTAATATTAGAAAGAACAAAAACAAAGAGAAGTGATGCATGGCACGATCATTGTTTTTATTTTTTTTTAATTTGATAAACTTTAGCTTTGTTTTGGTTTGGTTTGCTTCATTTCCTTGGTTACCGTCTCACGCCAGTGACAAGATCAACAAAGCATTTTTGCCAGACGCTGAGGGACTCCTACTGAACTTCACTGGACTAACCCGCACAATTTAAAGTGGCATGCAGTCTGGCATATGAAGTCTGTGGGTGTAAGTGCGTCACAAAAGAAACAGTGACTGATGATGTCTACGTTAGATACTAAACAGGAAACAGCTGACAGAGAGAGCTGGTCAGTATATGTTGTTGTTTATTTCTTTCACTGTGATCCTCTGATGCACTGAAGGGTCAATAACAAAACAGAAGATGCCCAACCAATCAGGATGCAGCATTAAGTGGCCATAATTGGTGTCGCTTAGCATTGCCAGTCAATATCCAAGTGGCAGTTTCGCCCATTTTCAATGACACTTGTGTTATGTTTAGAGGGATATAAATCTCTAAACTCTCTTCTCAATGTACCACAGTACTCACGATGATGAAACCAAAATTAGTGAGACTGACTATTGATTGTTTGGGTCAAAATAAAGTAGAAATAAGACCCTTATCACCCTCACGAGGTGACATCAGCACAATGTTAGGCTGAATAAATGAAGTGAAACAACACACCACTTCAGTGTGATTAGCATAGCTCACACCACCTTTTAAAAAAGGACAGTTTACCCAGAGCAAAATAATATCGACAAGAAAAAGCATCACATTCAGTACATAAAAAATAGTGGACAAATAGAATTCAATTAAAAACTCATTAACAGTATCACAATTTGAGTATCATGCTATCAGGTGTTTTACATTTCTTTTTTTTAAATATCAAAGCTGCCAATTAAAAGTTAATGACTGTCATAATAATAATAATAATAATAATGACAACATATTCAGTAGTGGATTCAATCTTTTGTATTCAATACCTTGAGTTGTCAAAGGAGCTTGCAAAGAAAAGCGTCTGGATGCTGGAGTCCAGACGCTTTTCTTTGTAAGCTCCTTTGACTACGATGACCTGGATGACTGAGAACCTTCACAGACACAATACCTTGAGTTGCACCACAATTTAAGCTGCCATCTGAGTAAACCTGAACTTACAGTTTGCTTCAAATACATTTATCAGTACTCGGCTCAATTTTCATAATTCATTAAACTGGCACTAAAAATGAAATTTCGAACTCACTTTGAGATTCATGTGTCACATTAAAGCCGGTAGACCCCAGACTGGCTTTCTAATATTGCCGACGATTTGAATTTTAAAAACAGCTGAGAAGCTTCACACATGTTATTCTGTAATATCGACAGTTTCTTTTCCTCTTTTTAAAGTCTCTGCTTGCCTTTCTCCCCCACAACCTGAAACCCATTCTGTTCTTTGGACTGTTGACAAGCAGCTTGTACTGTGACCCTCAGCTGTCGCCAGTCAACAGGTGGTTCATGCTTGTGCTTGCATTTGTGAGTGTGTGTGTGTGTGCGCGTGTGGCTGTTTGAGTTGGCGTCCGAGTTGTGTGAGCCTGCTGCCACACAAAATATTCTGCATTGCTCTGTCTCTACGTCAGTTTCAGAAACCATGTCTCTTTAAAGAGTCCTGCCAAAATACAGAAAGCAAAGAGGAGTGTGTGTTTGTGTGTGTGCGCGCGCGCGCGTGTGCGCATCTTTGTACCAAAACTGGGAAGAAAGGTAAAAAGATAAAAGAAAACATTTACTTACGGACTGGACTCGGGCACGCTCCATTAGAGTTCCCCAAGTCTCCCCCTAACAGAGCACCTAAGATAATAGGAAAACACACCACGGTCACATAAATAACGCTAAAAATTACCTCATATCAAACAGTTAATCTGAGTAGCACTAATCTAAAATGATTCATGAAAAATGAAATCATTAAATCAAGTATCATTAAAAAGTCCTACTGCAATCGATGCTCATTTCACTCACTGAAGGACCATAATTGGTTTCAATTCTGCATTTCCAGTTAATGTTTAAGTGTTAGTTTCATTACTTCTCAATGGCACTTTTGTGATATTTTGAAGGGAAAAACTCTGAAAGACTAAATGCTCACCTAAAGCTAATTAAAAGTACAATATTATTTAAAAATGAAAGCTCGTCATTGGGAGGAAGACAGTCTATGTTTACAGTGTATGTAACTGCCAGTAAAACTCTCTTATTACATATTTAAGATCATCAGAATAAACAAATATTATATCCAAAGGTATTTCCTCATTCTCCTCATAGGATTACTATGCGGCTACTGGAGTGCTTAGAGACATTATTCTAGTGTTAATTTACTGTAAATGTGTGAATGTTAAAGTGAAGCAATTCTACTTTAATCATAAGTAGATGAGATCTCCTTCTCACTGTTATTGATCCGCACAAACCCACAGTGATATTAACAAACATCCTGACTTTGGAAAATAAACATCAAACACATTTTACCCTTGGTAGGTTTGAGAGATTTATATTCAGAGATTCACAAGCCGATAACACCAATGTGCGAACATCACAGCATCATATGCGCTGCCTCCTGCACGCTCTATCCAAGCAGCTCTCCCGCCTAAAATCACACAGAGTATTTCCAGTAGCGCGAAGGTGTCTGAAGCCGACCATTTCCTGCTGTCTGTCACATGTGAGCAAGGACAACTGTGGGAAATACTTTGCTCCGATTCTCCTGAAATGTGCATGTGTGAAAACAGATTTTTTATTTTGTTTTGTTTTAGCTTAGCCCCACCAACAGCGCATCGCACCAGAGTGAATATCATTAAAGAAGCTGTGTTGCTGCTAAATGTTTAAAAAAGCAGGTTTGTAATAACACATAAACTTGTGAGAGAGTTTTTCAGTATTTTCCCCAAATAACCAAAAGCATAAAACACATAAAATAGTAATTTTACTGTTGCCATAAAATTAAATCTCATGTGCTTTGTCTCTAAGCACAGGAAACAGAGACATTTTTATACACTGCAACAGCTACATACATTTATCTTCATTCTAGCAAACATTATGCTTGCTTTTCCCTCACATCGCAGGCAGCATTTTTTCTGCACTGACACTTATTTTCCCTCGGTTGGTGCAATTTCAATTCTTTGGCTCCAATGCGCTTTAGAAATTCGGGGTCATTAGGGGTGACTGAAAAAAATCTGGCTGGACAGACACACAGAAAAACGCCAATAAGCAAAGACAATGAACCCAATGCATCTCTGATGATGTGGGATGCATAAAAGGGTACAGCGATGTATTTGCACTGCTGAGGCTATGAGGAGTAAGGGGAGGGGATGAAAGGGGCGTCCATTACTGCTACGTGAAACCCACTTGCCTCAGAGAACGGCATGTTATGAAAGATGCTGTAATGCATTTGTTGCGAGTTACATCACCTAATTCTGACTTGCAATGAGATTACGCTGGTCGGAACAAAGCTTGATAAGTAACCTTGTCTGAGTTGCAAAAATGGGGCACAAATCCTTTTAGTCAGAGGTTGAAGGATTGGTTTGCCACACAGAGGCAGCGGGCGTACGGTGTACCAGCCAACCAGTCAAAGAAATGATGGATGTCTGTCATTATAGGTAGTGTGCACTTATTTCAACAAGCAGAGGAGTTATTTGGACTGATGGAGCATGCAGGCTGCACAACACATCACTGGTCATTTTGCTGCTTGTCGACTCAGAAGATTCTCTATTAAAACGCTGCTGTTACATAAACCGTGCTTCTGCATAGACCGAGGGCACTTTATGAAATGGTCTTTAAGTAACTACATCACTATGACAACCATGAGTTTAAAAGTGGTTCAAATCATTCAGTTACAAGAGACGTTTAGAAACCAGTACAATAACATGCTTGTCCACAGACTGACTGCTTGTGATGCAAAAAAAAAAAAAGAAGAAGAAGAAAAAGGAAAAAAAAATACAATTATTAAATGTCAAAATGAAACATTTGAAAACCGATAAAAATCAGCTGTACGGAAAGTAGGCCAAACATCGACGGAGAACCACCAGTCACAGGTTTACACAGGGATTTGAGCCTCATATACATAACACAGAGTGTTGACAGATGCTGCTAATTAACATTCAATGTGGCGTGACCCATATTTACAACAGTTTGCAGGTCATGTAGTTACTGAAAGTCCTTTTTCAAAATCTTTGAGACTGAGTGATCGTTTAATGAAATCAGCAATGTCTGAAAGACCTCTTTGTTCAATAATGCTTCCCCTCAAAATAAATAAAAACCGCTAAACTGTATTTCAAATGTTCAAAATGACATAATTCATGGCAAACTATTTTTGTCATCATGCAACGACACTAAGAGCATTTTCCACTGACATGGCGTTGGTGCCAGTGTACGACTGGTTTCTCGCACTGTCAAGACTAAATAGCTCACAGAAGCACGGCACCACAAATCCGGCGCGCCCCATCGTCAACATCGGCAGAGAAGGGAAATCATCAACGTCTGGCAGATTCAGCCTAGAGAATCTGTATGCCATATTTTACACCCATGGAAATCACCTCAAATTCTTCGAGTAACAATGCATAATGACCGGTTATCAAACCTGACAAAATGTGGGCTGATTTCCAAAGACAGCAATGAAAAACTGGTTCTGAAGCTGCACTGGCACCACACCAATAAGAAGAAGATGTATAATGACAGCGTGGTTGCACGGTGTCTTTCTAAGAGGTTCAACCTGACTTGGACTCTATGACACACGGGCAGCTGCAGTGGTCAAAAGGTTTTTCAGTTACTGTTACTTTTGTTGCATTTTTCCCCTCAAAAAACTGTTTTTTTTTTTATTTTTGTCTGTCATTAAATATGATAATCTCTTTGTGTGAGCTTTCACAGTGAACATGACTACACTTGTCAGGTTTTATGGAAGTCTAAGGTTACGACTGAACTGCATTAAAAGCTGGAACACTGAATGTGAAATGGTTATCGGCCATTTTACTGAACAAAGAATTTCAGAATTTTAAGAATGATGTATTTCTGGTATTGTTTAGATTAGGGGTACAAGTATGCACACATTTGAGAAACAGTGGCAAGCTGCAGCCACTAAAAGAAGAGGCTTTTAGTGGGTGCAGCCGAAAACAACAAAATATGAGATTTTAAAAGTTTTTTTAAAAGATGTAAAAAAATAAATTTATATCGGAAGGTAAACATATAAAATCATATTATAAATACTTAATGTAGCCAGAAATTTCTAGTCTGTTCATTTTCTTTTTAAATATTGTCTCCATGTTTTCTCCAATACTTGTCAATCAAGCAGTGTGGGTGGCAGTCTGATGGCTTTTTTTCTTTAGTTATCTTTTGAAGAACTTTTGAGATTTTGTCAGTTTGTCTTCTTTGTTCTTCAGTCCATCTCAAAACTCTCGATGTTTTCAAAAAAAGTAAAACTCATCAGTTGCCTAGCATCAGAGGATCCTTCACTGACAAAACCAAATCAATGTTTAGAACTGCAAATTGAAAACCTACACTGTGGATCGATCAATCAGCTGCTGGTATTAAAATTGGATGTTTATGTATGAGAAGATGTTTCAGATTATTGATTATTAGAACAACCATCAGTTCACATTATCAATCCACACAGAAAACAGAGCATTTTATTTTGTTCATGCTGTTTCTTACCTGCACTGGCTGGCCGCTGTGGTAACCCTGGCGACACGGTGTTTCTCTGCAGAGCGGGTTGCTGTGGGGAAAGGAGCCGGGGATCTGTGAGGGTGGAGGTGACAAAGGAGGTGGTGGTGACCAGGGCGCCGGAAGGGTTGTTACTGAACTGAAGGGCCGCCGCTGCCGCTGCGTTCTGGTTGGATACTGGCACGGTGACTGGCATGGAGAAGGTGGGCTGAGGGACTGTAGACTGGTGGAATGACAGGAAGAGGGCAAAGGTTAGAGTGTGGCCATGTTTATCCACCCTCACATATAATTATATATTATAAAAAATAATGAACAGGTGATCAGTTAGTGATCAGCAGCAGTGCAAACAAGCCTGCAGGTCACACACACACGCACGCACACACGCACACACACACAGCTGCAGCAATAAAACCGATCACAACGAGAAGAGTCTTCCCAAAACGAAACTTTAAAAAGTTGCACAACAAAGGAGAGTCCTACTTTAAAGCAACAACATTAAAAGAAACACAAGTGGAACATCTTCTGTTTTGCACGCTAATTATTGCTTCAAGAATTTGTAGCTATTCTTTCAAGCTTATTTCACCTTGATAAATATCTTTTTCATTTAAAGGGCAATTTGTTGTGAAATAATACATTCGTTAATTATTTCAGTAGTTCAGAATTACTTGAAAAGTAGCATTTTTTTTTTTTACCCCAAACACTTTATCTGATTTGAATTTGGCTCCTCTTCAAGACTGTCTCCTTTTGCTCTGCTGGGCAGCTTTCAGTGCTGTTGCAAAATTTGATTTTAATTAAAGAAAACGTTTGTATTGTAAATTTTATTGTACCTCCAATATACATATGAAGAAGGAACTTTTAATCCTTGCATAATGACTGATGTCTCCACTTCTTAAAGTTAAAAAAACAGTTAAAAAATAAATAAATAAATAAATAAATAAAATAAATAAATAAATAAATAAAATAAATAAATAAAGGGGGGGAAAAAAGCACTCTTCCCAAAACTAGAGCTTTGTATTCCAAAACAGGTCAGTGCACAAGAATAAAAATAGTATACAAAAAAAAATTGCAAAAGACTGATTAGCATTGGGAATATTTGTTTCCTACACTGATAGATATTTTCACCTGTTTAAAGAAAATCAAATTTAAAAAGCTCAAATGCTGACACAAAAATAACTTCTTAAGTAGATCTTTGTTTCTCAAAGAAATCATTTATCATCATTAGCATTAATGGCTAAAGTAATGAACAATAAACAGGAGTCCATGAATTCTGAATATCATATCATATGTTTTCGATCTAAAACTTTGCAGTTAGTAATAACTTTTAAATCATACCAGTAAAATATTAAAAATGATTCTTAATAACTGAAATCTACCTACACTGCATTGGTATTCTGTCACGGTGAAGATTTTTTGATTCTTTGCTTGTTTGTCAAGCTTCACTCTTGAGGCAGGAAATCAATTTAAAAGTATCAGACATGTCTGATGTTTGCCGTTTCTACTGTGGTTTAAAAGAACACAATTTTGTTTTGGAAATAAAACTCTTCAAAACAACCAAAAAACACACACATCAAATCTCAAACACACGCAGACGCACCCAAACGCAGACACGCGCACACTCACTCACTCAGTTGTCATGCAAGGTGACTTGGTGAAAAGGCCAAAAAGCTGTCTCGCCTTTCACTTTTCATGCCAGGTTAAAACTTGTCGCAGCAGCAGCAGCAGGTTATTGCATCGGGTTATTGGTGACATTTCATAGCGTGCTTGTCACATTCCAGCAGCATCCCCACCACCCCCACTGACATGTGCTCATCACTGGGGATTTAAGGAAATATTCAGCAGGAGCTTGCCTACCAAAATGGGCTTTACAATATCACTCTTGTTCTCAAAAATCCTGAAGACAGTCCAGCTTTTTGTTCAAAAACTTATCAACTGCACTTTTTTTTTCTTTAAAGAAATGATCAGCCTCATCACCTGAGTTGATGAAGTGGATGACCAGACGTCCCCGAGTGCAAAAAAAAAAAAAGAGAGAAAAAAAAGGAAAATCAGGGGCAAGGACCTCGGGTTGTCCAGCAGTCCGACCCATTTCACCCTGTTCCAACTCAATCTGAAATAAGGACTTCTATATATAGAATATGGGCCAGTGCTGCACTGTACTGTACTCAAACTGCCTGGGACCCAGTTTAATATCGAGGAGGACGAGGGCACCTTCCTGCCCTTGATCTCTACCTCTTTTCCCTCTGCACTGCATTGGAGATCACATGAAAATAAGGGAGTTATGGGACTGAAACCAAACCAAGTGCTGGTTTATTCAGTCAAATCTCAAAAATTGTTACTTAATCATAGTTTTTCCTCAAACAACTAAACAACTTGTTCCCAACTAATAAAGTGGTCTTTTTATATAAACCTCAACAACAAAAATAATCATCTTTATTCATTATTTAATAATTAGGGGTTTTTTTTCGTCACACAAAGTCTAAACAGAGTGACCAGAGACTGGCCCTTTTTTCATAAAACAAACAACAAATTATAGTTCCACGAAAAACCTTTCAATTTATTCGCAATGTTAGCTGTGAAAAATGACTAATCTTTATTAAATCTTCCAAATAAGTGAAATGTAAAATTCACTCTTCAGCCTACAAAGAGGAAGTTTGCAAAGCAGGCTGTACAGAGAGAGCTGTAAGTGGCTAACAGGGAGAGTGAAGAGAACAGCTAACAGCATTGCACCACTGCACACAGGCCGAGCAGAAGGTAAAGGAAGGGCATGGATAAATGGGAAAGGGTGGACAGAGGTGGGGTTAATGCAAAGTGGGCCAGAGGTGTATGAACGCAGAGCATAAGGATGCAGAAAGAGTTTATCCCTACAGTGCTTGGGAATGTTTTTTTTTTCTTTTCAGTAATAGATTTCATTATATATTTTTTCTTACTGGGAGAACAACTACAAACAGAGGACAGAGCTGACAGAATACAAAGCAATCAAACTGTCACCTTTACCTGAGCCTGAAACACTCTACTTTCCCATGAATCAAGTCTAAAACTTACTAAACTACAGTTAAACTACGGTTAGAGAGAGAGAGAGAAAGATGGACTGCAGTCTGTATTTACAGATTTAAAGTTGGAATAATGGAACTGTGGCTTTAAATAAATTGACAATAAATAATAGCATTCAGGACAGAAAATATCACTGAAGACAATGTGACCTTAATGGTATATTTGTGGTGATTTGGAATTATGAAAAATAGGATTTGAAGAAATCTAATTAGACGTTAGAAGCAGAGTCAATTTTTAATAATAATATAATAATTATAAATATTGTTTAAGCCACTTTAAACTGACTTATGAATCATTCAAACACAAGGTTAAGCCAAGGTATGAACCAGTGTTGTATCAATCAACCATCTATCAGCAGTCTTTTGCAAAAACAGAATTTGTTCCAAGTTTATCAGTTGAACTACAGAAGATTCTCAAAAATAATATATTTGGCAGGCATAAAACAGCATTTTTTTTACAAACAAGGTGATTCACCAAAAATTTTGCATATAGGGAAAAAAGGATAAAAGAGGGATAAAAAGCTGAGGTATAGCAAATAAGACGAGGACTGGACTGAAAAATCAGTGGCCACAGCTTTTATGAATCAAAACTTAAAATCTTTGGTTCAAATGTATGTTACTTATATGTACGGCCATCTGTAAAACATGGTGGACACTCTATCGTGGTTTGGGGCTGGATTTAATTTCAACTAAAGAAACACAAAAAAATTTGACCCACCATGCAATACCATCTAGAAAGCATCTGATTGGTAAAATCACTATTTTTCAGTAGAATATATCTACAGTAAGCATCTAGCTGAATAGAAAAATGTACACTAGAACACTATCAGTCAAGGATTGGCCTCCAAATACCTAAACACTGCTGAAGCAGTGTGGGATCATCTTAACAGAAATCAAAAGGCAGAACACATTCAAAGAAGAGCTTTGAATGTCCTTCAAGAAACCTGGAGAACTATTCCTGACGACTACTTAAAGAAGTTCTAAGAAAGCTTGCGTAAGAGAGTTTAGTAGTTATACCAGGTATTGCCTTCCAAGCTTGTAATTGCATGTTTCAATAAATTGCTGTACCAACTTCCTATTATGCTTACTGAATATGAAAAATGAGAGATGCCTCAAGAGTACTATGCATACCTTAAAAAACAATCCTCTTCAGCTGTCTGTCTCTTTATTGGTACTTTGTAATACATTTAGCCATCGATTGTTTGCTGCTCGCCACCATTCCACAAGACCTTCATATCTGTATCAGCCTCTGGTTGCTAGGAGATTGGTGACATAACTCCAAAACCTCTTCATTTATTCTGTAAATATGAATTTTAAATTTGTCTTGACCCTGCTCTCCACTGTGCTACACTGAGAATTAATCCATGTCTTTGGCAAATTACAAGAGAATTTACATCTGCCCACTCTGACTCCATTTAACACTGCTGCTCCTAATTGCAGAGAGGAGGGTTAACTGGGTACTGCTCCTCATCCTGTGGATTTAGCACAGAGGATGGGAACCATAGAAAAAAATAACAAGAACCTGTTAGGTAAATAATTGACTAGGAGCTTTTCCAGAGGCTCATGTGAGGAAGCTTAAGGCCTCTTCTGTGTGAAGAGAACAAAAAGAGGGGAGAGAAGGCTAACCTATTTTCCCTCAGAGGAGCTCTCTCAACAAGGGTGTGTTTCCACGATGCAAGGGTAAATCAGAATGAATTAAACTCATGGCCTAGTTTCCCTTTTCCTCCCTCTTGTCCTGGAAGCCTTTGAAAGTTTTCTCTTTTTTTTTTTTACCCTTTTTCAACTGTAGGATTGTCACATCGTATTTGTAAGAGGCTGTAGATCTGAACACAGATGCAACATTGGAAAAGTGTTTGACGGACCTTTAGATGTCCCAGCAGTTGACCAGTAAATTAGCTTTAGTTGTTTAGTTCTATGCCCCCCCTCACTCTAATTTCTTTCCAACTTCACCGATATTTGATCCTAAATAAATAAAAAGAGGCTGAATGACTCGCGGCTCACCTTCTCCAAAACATCTGATTCTCACTGAAAATTGTTTTTTTTGCAGCTCTTAACAGAAACTATTAATAGGGATGCTGAGAGTCCTCATGCTTTCATGGCATGAAATTCAAAGCTAAACTAATCTCAAAACTAAATTAGATGTGATTAAGTGTGCAGCAGTTTCAATAACACCATGTTTCACTTGACATTCATTCCAAGCTTATACAGGAGACAAAACATTCAGCTTCTTGCTGAAAGGCACCATGGAGGTGGTTGTTAAAAGGCAGAAATCTATTTCTTATTCAATTTCCTGGCCCAGAATCTCAGAGCCAGAAAAGGATCAAACCAGGGGCCCTCCGGTTAGGACAAAAAAACAAAAACCCAAAGCTCTTTTCTCTTGCCTACTACAGTGCCAGTTTAACAGGAAAAGATACGTTAGCTGGGGGCTCGTTTAGCCAAGTGTCCTGCCCGTTCTCCCTCACCACTCTCTTCCTACCTTGGGAGGTATTTGAGTACAAGTGGGATTAAGCTTGTATATCCCGGCCCCTATCTGTCATGCTGGGGATTATGATGCTGAGGGGAGGAGTGGCAGGTGGTGCTGCATGTTTCTGATTACTGGTTGACCGTGAAAGGTGTGCTGGAAAACCAGACAGGTAGGCAGGCTGACTGGGACACCGAGGGGCAGAGTGATGTCGGGGCAGCTTGTCGCTAGAGTCATTTGCTAGCAGCGTTACGCTAGCATACAAATGGCATGAGCCAAGAGCTGCAGCTCTCTAAGTGCAGTAGATTGAATCCGCTTCTTCTTCTTCTGTGGTTTTCTCTTTTGAGAAAGTCTTTTCAGAGCTATTTGTCTCACACAGCACAGAGAGGCTGATGGAGGCAGGGTGGATATCAGGAGGGGAGAGATTCACTGAGCTGATTAATCTGAGAGGCAGCTCATTTTCTCCATTATGCTCTGATGTATGTGAGATTTTAGTAAATTAATATTAACATTAGCGCTTGATGTCATTTTGAAGAAAGCCTTTTCTTCCCTCCAAACCACCAGCGTGTTTTTTATACTAGTTTTGTCCATAAAACTGCTTTTTATTTAACAAATAGTGTGTTTCAAGCCTTTAAACTGAAAACCAGGCGAAGGTATAGTCTTTCCATTGCTCTAGCTGTAAACTACATATGTAGCTGACAATGCATACATTATACATTTTTCATAATTATATAGCTTTTCACAGTCCTATTTTCATATGCATATTAACAATTACAATTAGAGCATGATTATGAGACTAGTCATGCATACCACAAAACAAGCCTAATACAGTAAAGAACAACAATAAGAAAAAAGAAAAACGCCTCCACCCCCCATAAAGGTGTAACACCAAAGGTGTGATTGTAGTAAACAACTGCTGCCTAACTATTCTGCAGAACCTCAAAGTGACTGTGTCCCATCCCAAGCGACCAATCAGGGGGCCGGCAGACAGGAAGAGGAGCTGTAAATTAAGTGCTAGTCATTAAAGTGACATTAATGGCATTATTGAGCAGAGAGGAAAAAATGAATCACAGAGAAATTGGCAAAGAAGTAGAGCGGTAAAAGGGGATTGGCAGAGCGCCAGTCAGGAGGCAGAACCTGGATAATGTCAGGAGCCCATCGGAGGAACAGGACTACACTGGGACTAAAGTGACCTCAGTAATGCTGCTAATAACAGCCGGTTATCAACTGCACTCTGGCTTTCTATGTGTTATCTGAGAAACAGACACAGCCCTGGTGGATACGGACTATCTGAAATTGCAACGCTCTTTCTTTAATGTTGCTAAGTATTACACAATTGGTGCATTCAGTCAAAAAAAAAAAAAAGATCTGACTGCTCGAAGGCATGCTCCAAACGTGTTGATTATTACCATAAAACATGATTTCCCCTTGCGATATTAGTTGCTATGCCAACTTTTGTGAGAACCAGGGACCTAGTTATCGCTCCTCTCCCTCTGTTGTTTATTCTTGTACGTTTGCGAACTTGCAGAGGCATCAGAAACATTGTATTAAAAGCCATAATACTCCTGAGAATGGGCTTCGCTGTGATGACTGTAACTTCAGATGAATAATCACAGTTAGCATGCCCTATTTGGTGTCATGCTGCTTTTTTAAGGATCACTTTCTGTCTTACACATGCGCAGCACTGCAAAAAACAAAACAAAACAGCAAAAAAAGAATATTATTTGTCTTTTTTATGACTCCTAGGAAATTTAACTGCAGAAAATGACTCTCCATGTACCCCATAAATTATGTCTATCTGAGTCTATCTCTTTAAAGTTATTATATTCGTGTTGGTTGTTGAAAAGACCAAACAACACTGGAAACACAACTTTAGGCTTTCTTACAAAAAAAAATAATACCATCCATTAATTAATGATGAATGTGAACATTAGTTAAAATTTTACTTTTAAGAGGCTTCCCTTATGAACTTGGCTGCTCTTATTTCTTGCTGAAGCACACACCATCAGTGGGGTGGGGTGGTTGTGGGTAGTGATTTGGGGGATGGGGATAGGTGCTATTGGTAAGCGGTGAAGTAGAGAAGGTAAAGGAGTGGGGAATGGTGAAGGCGAGTGCTCTGTGAGTAGTCAGGCCACCATCAGCAGCCGGAAATCTCCGGTTGTCCGGTCAGCGGCAGCAGCAAGGTACCAACATGAAGAGGGGGCAGGGTTACGCAGAGTGGTGGGAGGTACTCACTGACAGCCTATAGTTCTGCATCATTTTATCAAACTCCTCGTCAATTTTTTTGTATTTCTCTTCAGTGCGGGGGGTGAGGGAGAAGGGCTCCTCGGGGTCTGGGCTCTCAGAGTCCCGGTGCTCTTTCTTGTTCAGAGCCTTCGTTCCCCAAACAAAAGAAGAGAAGGTAGACAGGGAGAGAGAAAGAGAGAGAGAGAGAGAGAGAAAGAGAGAGAGAGGAAAGTAGAGAAAAAAGGGAGAAGAAGAAAAGAAAGGGTAGGTTAGATAAGGTGACAAAAATGTGATTGTACTCACGCCGTAGCGCTTGAAGAGGCTGTCCAGGTCCTCGGTCTTGCGGTCATTTAGCGGGCTTTGGTCGATGGAGTCGTCGCCGTCGGGCTCAGGGCTGTTGCAACCGTTAAAGCCTTTCTTTCGCAACGTCTGAAGCGGTTAAAGAGGGGTAGAGGAGGAGAAGGAAGCACATTTACATTTCATTTTTCCATGCACATATTGAAATTAGCACACAGTGAAAGATTTTCATTTCTCAAACACAAATGAACATCTTGATTGCATAAAATGTGCTGACTCCTACGCTATTCATTGTATAAACATGAGCCAGCTAAGGTCAGATGGAACAATTTGACCCTGATGATGACATAAAAAGAGTTTGTCTTTTTTTCCTTGCGGCACCTTCTGTGAGCAGAAAAGCTGCCTTACGGAACACACGTTCTCAACTTCAACCTTTGAAAATCCTCTGTCGATTTGTGAGGTCAAAGTTCGTAACATCTGCCACCCACCTGAAAGCAAGTTATTAAGGAAGAAACTGTACTTGCTTATCCAGCAGGTGCACTCAGGAAGTTATGGTTTAAAGGGCTGAAAAACTAGTCTTACAAGTCTTATTCCAACCGCAGAAAGCTTTCAAATCGGAGGATGTGGTCTGAGAGAACAAGGCCAATAAACTATGTGCATGTCAGAAGATACAGCGAGGCATCACACTTGTGCACACGTTGGCTAATCAACAGTGTTAGTAATTGGTGTGAAGCTTTGCACTGAGGAATGTGGTAAAGTAAAGCAAAGGGGTAAAGGGTGAGCTAGGAAGCATGTGCTGGTATTAGCACTTCAGCTAACGGCAGACAGGTTGCGTCAGTGTTCGCACACTTTGGAAAGGGCGAGAAATGGAAGAGGGAGACCGACGGGCGAGAGAGGGAGATAAAGAGGCTCTTATTTTGAGAGGATTCTGCTAAACAAGATTTGCTGTTAAGTAGCTTTGCCTGGTGGGCCCTTGACCACAGAGCCAAGCGGAGAGATCCTCGTAGCAAAATGGATCTTAAACTGGAGCTGGAGATCCTACTGTGGTCCAAATACAAGCTTTAGCCTTGAGTGGTGCGAAAAGAAAGAAATCCCTCGCCTTGAAATCTGTCCCAAAGGAAAAATAGACTATAACCATGGCCAAAAAAAAAAGAAAAGAAGAAAAAAAGACTCTAGTTCTCACTCCAGCAAGTCATTCCATCCAAAACATTTTTTATTGAATAAAAAAAAAAAGGAGAGGAGGGGGCATCTGTCTGCGAAGCACTATATTTTAAGCTGCACTCTGTAGAAATCAACTGATTTCAAGAATTAACAAATGACCTTCAGTGTCTTACAAAAAAGAAGCATCATTAAGACATAGGAAAGTGGATGTTTAATGAACAAGCAAACACAGGAAAAGAATTTCTTTAAAAGCTCGTAAATCTAGTATCTAGTATTAACTGTAATGTGCAGTCATGTGAAAAAAGTGAAAAACTAAGTAAGCTCTTATTGCTTCCATTGGTATTATGAGATTAAGGTGCTGCTAATCATATGTGCTTGATTAGATGATCATCAGCAAGTGTGAGCACCTCTATAAAAGCAGGCATACAGATGTGAGCATCCCAGCAAATTCCCCCCAAAGTGAGACCGTGCAAAGCACAGAGAACAACAAGAGCTACATCTCAGAGTCTACAGGCCAAAGTCACAACTTTACAATTACAAAAACACTGAATGATTATGGTTGGTGTTGAAGGGCTGCTGGGAGAAAACTACTTAGGTGTGGAGATGTTTGGCCAAATTGCACCACATTTGTAGAAAACCAAACACGGCATATGAACACATAGAGCAAATACTAACAGTGATGATTCTGGCTTGTTCTGCAGATATGGGACCAGGGCATTTTTCAGTGATTGAGTCGACTATGAACTCCTCTGTATTACTGACTAAACAGCTAGAACTGGGTCATGCAACAGAACAATGATTCCAAGTACACCAGCAAATCTGGTGTCTCGATGGTGCAGTAAAACCAGACCTCAAGCTCACTGAAATGCTGTGATGGAACCTCATTGAAAGGTGTGAATAAACAAATGCCTTCGTACCTGAATGAACCCAAGGACCACTGGAAGGAAGAGTAGGCCAGAATTCCTCCACAACGATGTGAGAGAATCATAGTCACACGGAAAGTGATTACTTCAAGTTACTGCTGCTAAGAATGGCTCTACAAGCTACTGAATCATAGGGTTGTGCATAGTTTTTCCACAGTATTGTGAAACAGTCCTTTTTCATATGTAAGTGTAATTTGGGGGTTGAACAAAAACATGTAGTCTACCTAATTTGTAGTTGAGTACGTAAAACAAATAAAACCACCGGCATCTTCTGAAATTCAATTACACACAACATATAATGCAGGGCACTGTTACATGTATCACCCAACAGATATTATATTCAATAACTCATGCACCCTTTACTTTCTTTAATTAACAAGCACTTGCCGTGTCAGGTGCGACTATAGTCTAGTGGCGGTCTGATTAAAACCTAACCATGTGTTACATGAGTGCACAGCACACAATCATTGTTAAGTGAGAATGATTCAACTGCATGCAATTCAGCCTCTAAAGTGAAGCTGGCGGGAAGTCGTTGTATCGAGAGCTCCAGACTAAACCCCGAGGAGGAAGAGACAGAGATTCTTTTCATTTTTGATGTATTAGCCTGAAATCCTAAAAACAGGTGAGGGCAGGAGGGTAATGATGCCATTTGGATGTAAGGGTAAAAAGACTTTCAGTGTTAATAACAATACTGCTCTTTGATATGAATCTCATTAAAAACCAAAGCCGTTATTATTATCGCAGTGTCAAAGCTGCTTTTTTATCTACCCACAGAAACGGGTTATTAGAAAGATTTGTTCCAACATGGAGACAGTCTCCTGATTCAGCTGTTAACTCTCACCAGAACAAGTAAGCGCTCTGATCTGCAGCTTAATGTAAATTTCACACACAGGAGCAGCCACCATGCGCTTTGTTGCGCACAGTTCATAGAAAACACACTCTGCTGAGGCAGATGAGTGTGCGCACTGACCTAAAAATCGAGAGAATAAAAGAACTACATAAAATAAATAAAAATAGAACAACTTTCAACTTGACAATGACGGCGTGTGACAGAGGGCTGTGTGGAGGACGTGATAGAAGCGTGGACCTCCTGCCCTGACTGTCAGGACACAAAGAGATAAAGAGCCTGCAAACAAAACTGGGATGACACCGGAGCCATGTTGGTGCACTGTTCACATGTAGTGACACACATTTGTACTTGGATACTTGTGAGGAGAGACAAAGTTCCAGTTTTGCATTTCCTAAGCCTAATTTAAAAGTAGATGGCTACACCAACCAAAAAATAAATCTCCTTCAATTTAAGCTTTAGTTCAATTAAAACTTAATCCTACTTTGATAGATCTGCGACCAAAGCGTCATCAAATATCAGTCCTCATTAGAGTTGATATGATGAACAGGGCCAAAATACAAATGGATTTGGTGATCATATACTTTTTTTTAATAATAAGAACAAAAATAATGACAATAAGACCAAACATGCAACTGTCTTTGGGGTTTGGACAAAATTCCCTAAATGCCCTCGATCTTCTTAAAATTGTCCCATTTTAAGTGTGATTCATTTGTATTTCTGTACTTGATTAAATCTGGCATTATTTGTCATAAAGATGCAGCTATCATGCATATGCTATTAAGGCGCCATGTGTTATTAACTCTGACACAAACATCATTTCCCCCAAAGGACAATAAAAACAAGAACAATTATGCCATTTCTTACAATGCTTCCACTAATGCTTCCAATAAGGACAGTGTTCATTCATTTTCATTGTCTTTATGCCATCGTGGCAATAGATTCACCAGTTTTTACCTAGTTGGCATACAAACTTACCTTCATCTGTAACTTCTTCAGCATGTAGTACTGAAGTCGAAATGCTTCTGCTTATTGCTTTTCCTAATTTGAGGCCGTAATTATCCACTGAGATTGCTAGCTTACTCTATTTTCTGCCAAAGAAGCAGGCCATGGAATAAGGTCAGAATGACACTGCATTTCAGTTCCACTGAAGTACAAAGCGCCCGACCCATAAATCAAAAAATCTGAACGGATCACCACTGGTCAAATATTCCTTTGCTTCCTCTCCATCTGACACTTTCAAATTCATATAAAAAGCAACAATCCTAATGGACACACTGACATATGGATGCAAACAGACGTACAGTAGGCTTCCTTCTCACACTGTCTCCACTTGCTTTCACACACACTTGATATTTTTTGGACATCATAGGCTTGCCTCTCTGTCTTTCTCTCATGTAAACTCCACTGATATTTTGTGAACATTACAGTGTAAACATGGGCATCTTTCCCCCTCTCTCACTCTCTCTCACTTTCTTTGTTTGTTTTCCCACTCTCTCTCAGACTGAACATTTTGTGTTACATTGCATTACATTCACATTCTCTCTTTCGCTCACACTCGCACACACACCCCTCTGTTGTGCACTGATCAGCTTGTCTCTCAGTCAGCCATCTGTTCACCTGTCCGCTGTCTCCCTCTCTCCCACTTTCCCTCTCGCTCTCTCGCTCTATTGTGTTGCCAGGGTAAGATTCACCCTGCAGAGCACCACGCCAGCCTCTAACTGGCTATGACTGCTCGCAAGCCCCGCCCCCACCTCACTCTCTTCGTTCCCCTCTGGCTCGCTCGCTCGCCCACCCGCCTGTCCGCCCGCCCTCTGTTTCCAGCTCTCCATGAAACGCTGCTGCTGCTTTGTCCTGTCTCTTTTTGTCTTTCTCTCGGCCTCTCATCTCTCAGCCCACCACCTTTAACGTAGCTCTCGCTCGCTCACAGTGCAAGTGCAAACTCTCGCACTTGTCCTTCTGTGTTTTTCCACCCTTAACATCTCTCGCCATTGCTTCCTTGAAACGTCTCCATACGCAATACTCCCCAGTCGCTCATTTCCTCTCATCAACCTTCATTCTCTCCTGTTTCAGTTTCTTTCCCTCTCCTCTTTTGCCCTGTCTCTTGTTCCCAGAGCTTTTCCCATCATTATTTCCTTCCCTTTTCCTCTCTCTTTCCTGCTCCAACCTTTTATCCCTTACTCTGAAAATGTGTTTGAAGC